AGCGAGACGGTATACTGAGCTTTATGGGGAGATCCAGTGGACTGCGTGAGCTGATACAAGAGCTTTACTCAGGGACCTGGAAGATGAAAGTACAGTTGGATAACACAGGTTGAGAGAACTTGTCCATGATGAGCAAGCATGAAGCGACAGTGGAGAGGAAAAACTCCCAGTTGGGAAGAAACCTCTGGCAGAACCAGGCTCAACATGGCGGTCTCCTGCCGGACTGGTTGAGATCTCTCGGATGAGTCCCAGAGGAATGACACGCTGATGGACCTTTAGCTACGATGGTGGAGGGAGGGCTGGAGGTTTGGTTGAAATGGTGTCATCTGAATGAAGTCACACAGCGCATCCACCGCTTGCGCAACAGGAGCACACAAGTGGATCAGAGGGCTTTTAAGATAAACTATGGATGTCAGTTGGCTTTCGTGGAGGTGTGGTTCAAAGCTGATTTGCTGTGTTGCAGGTGGATGTAGGGGAGCAATGAGTTTCTTCAGTTGAACTTTCACCTAGGCTCCATTACATATTAAAATGGTTAATCGACTAATACATATTAAAATACCATTTTATCAGCTTTTTAATTGTTGCCTCACTTTTTTAAAGCAAACAAATACTTCAATTTTTTTCCAAGGTTGACATTTTTTTTATTATGATCATGACATTTATTATGGCATGATTCAAAGCTGAAGCTGCTTTCCTCCCAATATATAGATGTGAAAACTGTTTGTGTAATCTGCAAATGTTATATTTGCCCTCATCTCATATTTCCAATAACCTCCTTTATATCTGAGTATTGTCTTGCTCCAGTTCCATCACCTTCTTTATCATGTTGGTCCACTGAACTCAAAAAACCCACCGTTCTCTTGTCTGTCTTTTTACCAGGCAGAAGAACTTTGCCCGAGGCATTGAGCAGCAGCTCCCAGATGGCATGGTGGTGGCGTCGGTGCCAACGGAGGTTCAGTGCCATGAGGAGCTGTCAGACCCTGTGCCTGACCCAGAATATCTCACGGGTATGAAAACATATTTCATAGCTTTCTCTCTTGGCTCACATCTACGCTGCTGTATCTCATTACTGGCTTGTATAAATCCAGATATGTCAAAAGTAATTCTGCATTTGACAGCATATAATTAACGTGACATGATGTTTAAGATCACTGTGTTTGAACTATTTATGCTGTCATTTAAATTGTGATGTGTGGTCACAAAGTTGAATTGTAAGCTATGAGCAAACTGCCAACTTCCTGAAGCTCAGTCACACAACTCTTTAAGTTCAAGTGATTCCAAGTTGTGAGCGTAAGATCTGCTCTAGAACTGATATTTGATTTGAGATAATATAAATCAGTTTTAACAGTCAAACACAGCTTCATAACTTTCATGAAGCAGGATAATAATTGCATTTGTAGCAAATTGTTGAATACATGATTACATTTCTATAGTATAGAATATTGTATCCATCAAATAGACCGCAGATTATTTAAATCCTTTACTGCTGATTCTGTTTTATCAATTGGGGCAGCTGATCTGAGTGCGGATGTATTTAGAGAACAGAGCAGCTGCACAGGGCAGCACAAAACTTTAAACGATTTCCTAACACATGTTACTGAGTCTATAGCATAACTATGAAAGGCAACAAAACCCCAACAGCTCTCAAAACCTGGTACAGGTCCATTATGGAATGCTTATAACGGTCAGAACCAACACATTTTTAGCATTGTTTTTTTTATGTTTGTTTTTTTTAAGCACCAGCAGAACGCATGCTTTGACAAAACTTTCTTTCACACTGGAAAAACGATCTAGTAATAGGTAAAACTTTCTTAAATTAAGTGTATTTACCCTTTATTGGAGTAGGTAAATGAGATAGTTTGCAAATGGAATCAGGATTTTTACTCTTAAAATAAGATAATTACATAATATTCTCTTGAAATAAGACAATGCAATTGTGTTTTCTTATTTTAAATCTAAATTGTCATGTTCCATTGGCAATATGTCTCTTTTATCTCCTCAATTCAATAACAAATGCACTTATTTTAAGAAAAAATTACTTATCAACATTTAGATTTTTTGCAGTGCAAAGGGCTCTTACATTTAAAACTCTGAACATGTTCAAGTGGTTTTAACCCTTAAGCAAATAAACACACATTATGGTGAGATTGTCTAATTTGAGGCCAGACAAAAGGCATTTTTAAAAATGTTATTTTTTTTCAAGTCAAACACATTTCAATATGATCAAATGATTTTAGATATGTATGCATTGCTATTGCTACTTTTCTTTTGCTTAACAGATCCCGTACTGCCAGTACTGTAGCTCTTGGATCTGTTCTGTTGCAAACAGTTGTCATTCAGAAAAAGCAAAGAAAAAAAAAAGTCAGAAGCAGATTTAATTTCTAAACTCAGTTTAGTCTGAACTCATGTTGTTAGATAATTAAGCTTGAACAATATAAAAAAAAAAACAGATTAAACAGGTCTCTTAATGTAAACTGAGATTAATTGAATGAATTTGTTTTTCGATTGGAGTGCTGACTTGAATCTTTAAAAAGCTGAAGTTAGAAATAAAGGGATGTCTTAAGGACTTAATGCATATCTAAAAACCTTTGTCTCGATACACTTGTAATGTATCCTGCCTTTTTTAGTTTTGGGGCTTGTTGGTTGTTTGCCTCTGAATAGTTCTACTCTGCTAATTAGAGTAACCAATGCACCTACCAATCTCCCATTTAGGCCTGTTCTAATGGTGCTTTCATGTGGTATCATGGCAAATACCAAAAATTGATATGAAAATTAGACATGAACAGCCAACTCGTGTTGTCAGTTCCACTTGTAAACTAGAAAGATTTCATCCTCCCTGAGTTGTTGAGATGAGGTAAACTTTGACCGTCAACGTGGGCAGAGAAACTATTCAGTGTTTATTCATCTATTTTTTTCTAGTGTTTTCATTACACTATCACAAGTACAGAGCAACAAGATTCACACTCTGCATTTAACCCATCAGTGGTCTGCCCTTTGGCGCGCCCAGAGGGCAGTGTGGTGTTAAGGGTCTTTGCTCAGAGAGCCAGAGTGGCAATCTGTGAGAGTGGGTTTTGGACTCACAATCTCAGGATTCTAAGCTCTATGCTCTAACCACTAGGCCACCACTCCCCCAACTCTGCACCTGTATGAGTACTGAATTATTAAATGTTTTCTCTCATTGTGTGTGTGGCCAACATAATTTTGTGATGTACATTTTTTTTAACAATATAAACTTGTGATGCTTTTAAAAACGATGGTTGATGTTTGATTTTATCAGATCCTAACTAGCAGTTTATCGATGATAGCAGCCAATAGGGTACTGTGCAAACTCTGTAGTGTGTAGTGTAGACAA